TATAGAGTTCCAATGTATTATGGATGCATATCAAAAAAGATCCTAGCTTCTGTCCTAATTTGTAATTTACAGTATTTAAAATATACATAATGTACCTATACAATTAACATTGATATTATTACTATCATCTTTATTGTATATGATACATAGATATTACTGATCTTGACAATGTCATGAAAAATTTAAAATCAATTGATTACACTCAGTGGATAACATTGGGTATCAGCTTAGGACTCTACTACAATACACTAGGAGTAATTGAAGAAAAGTGTAGAGGAGATGTTCAACAGTGTCTACTGAAGTGCATGGCTGCCTGGTTAAGAGGAGAAGATAAAGTGAGATTGAAAGGAGGTCCTAGTTGGTTGTCATTAGCAGAAGCGCTGGAAGAAATTGAAGAAAACGACATTGCTAAAAACATTAGAGCAAAGTAGAGCTATTTTAGGCCATAATTTTTTGCTGCTGTTATTATTTTTTTAGATTAGTATTATGCTATTGTAGTATTAGTTTCTTGTAGCATTAGAGTAGTTGTATTTTATTTTTTTAGCATTAGACTGAGCACTGATTGTAGTTTCACAAAAATAATATTAATTTTACTGTAGTGTTGTGCAGTACTCTATTTTCTGTTTTAGTTCTAGTTTTAGTTCTACCAACTACTCCATTTCTAGTTTTAGTTCTAGTTTTAGTTTTACCAGTACTCCATTTCTAGTTTTAGTTTTAGTTTTAGTTTTACCAGTACTCCATTTCTAGTTTTAGTCCTAGTTTTAGTTCTACCAGTACTCCATTTCTAGTTTTAGTTTTAGTTTTAGTTTTATCAGTACTCCTGCATTTCTAGTTTTAGTTCTAGTTTTAGTTCTACCAGTACTCCATTTCTAGTTTTAGTTCTAGTTTTAGTTTTACCAGTATTTCATTTCTAGTTTCAGTTCTAGTTTTAGTTCTACTAGTACTTCCGTTTTAGTTTTAGTTTTAATTTTAGTTCCATGCCAAATTCTGATTCTGGCCTTATAGTTCTAGTTTTAGTCCTACTAATGCACCATTTCTAGGTGATTTTTATAATTTTTTAATGAAATTTAATTTTAATAACTTAAAAGGGTAGCATTTTAGTTCTAGTTTTAGTTTTAGTTATTCAAAAGGGTACCATTTTAGTTCTAGTTTTAGTTTTAGTTATTAAAAGGGTAGCAATTTAGTTCTAGTTTTAGTTTCAGTTATTAAAAGGGTAGCAATTTAGTTCTAGTTTTAGTTCTAGTGATTTACAAGTGCACATTTTAGTTTTAGTTTTAGTTTCAAGTTCTTAATAGCTAAATCTTTAGTTCTAGTTTTAGTTCCAGTGCTTTAATTTGTCAAATTCTAGTTTTAGTTCTAGTTTTGGTTTTTTGTATCAATGTAGTTCAGTTCTAGTTCTAGTTCTTGGAACTAGAACTAGGAAAAAATAGGTGTACTAAAATAGATTTAGTTCTAGTTCCGTTGGAACTAGCACAACACTATTTTACTGCTGCTTTGTAAAAAAATTTATGATGTTAAGTTTGTGAAGTGTGAACCATTATTATCTGCGCATGCGTAGAAATTCATAATACGGAAAATATGTGAGTTTACTGAGTTAGATTACGGATAAAACATGGAGGAAAATAGGTCAGAAAAATCAACCAGAGAAAAGAAAGACATATCCTTTGTAAGCTAACAAGAACTGATCCTTAATAACAATAACAATAGGAAGATGCTGACATTCCATTTGAAGAAGAAATACTACGTCATCCTTACAGTGTAAAGTGCTGGATAAAGTACATTGAACACAAGCAGATTAAGAGTGACCACGCCCACTCATCAGCAGTCAACCTAATATATGAGAGGGCACTAAGAGTATTACCAGGAAGGTATAGAATAATATTTATATTTATGCTTTGTTGTGGGGAGGGACGATTTTAATTTATTATAAATAATCTGCCATGTTTTAAGATAGATTGTTGTTTTATTGTCAAAATTAAAACTGTCCTAAATGACAAAATCAGTAAAACAAACTATTTCCAGTACATATGCAGTAATTATTGTAGATAATTATTATTAATTTTATGTTTTTGTGCTATTTTCCAG